TGGTCCACTTACATGTTTATTGGGCCTGAGAATGAGTTTTATATGTGTTCTTCTTTCTTTTCCGTGTAAATTTTTTATTAAGGATCTAGTGAGACCTGTCGGTTGGCACCTTTGAGTGTACAATCGTAGCCTGTAGTTATAACAAGAGTTTCCTGAAGGGAAAACGGGAGTTTGTGTATAGATCTATACTGGGGTGACACCCCACACCTGAGCTGTTCGCTACAGTTAGACTAGGCCAGTCTAGGGTGACAAAAACCTTATCATATTCCGGCGGCGTCCCAAAGACGCAAAGACAGGCGAAATTGTCATTATTATGTATTGTTATAGCGACTCACTTAGAGGAATTAACGTTATAAGATTTACGGGAAACTATTCTATTTTCTTTTTGGGATAAAACAGGAAACCATTCTATTTTCTTTTTGGGATAAAACAGGAAACCATTCTATTTTCTTTTTGGGATAAAACAGGAAACCATTCTATGCATGGTCACACACAATCAAACACATAATCAGTTATGGATTAGGAATAGGCTATGTAAGATTTATTATGCAAACATAATTATGGTCATAATTTATGTTCTCCAGCACAGCTAAATTCAATTACTTCAATCACTTATCTAAGATTGGGTCGATCCTAGCTCTAGCAATTCAATATTCACTAAATCACTAGGTGTCATGTTAATGTAATTTAATAATCACTAAGCTACACAGAACATGAATTCAAGCAACTAAACAACCAAATATTAGCATGCTAGGTATTAACAATCAAACACAAGCATAATACCAACAAGTCAAATCCATAATTAATTAAACTAATCCATAAGTTGAAGCTTCATCTAGCTAAACAGGAGTAGCTAAATTCAGCTACTCATGGTAGAAATCAAACACAAAAACTCAATAGAGATAAATATAAACATGATCAAACCGAATAAATTGATGTTTTCGTCTAGATCTCTTCAAATCTTGAGCTCCAATCGTTTCCTCCTCTTCTAAGGGTTTTCCAGAGGTTATTTTTCGTAATGCTTCTCCAAAAAGTCACCTCCCAGTCTCCCAATTCGTTATAATGTTCGGATATATATATTTGCCTAAAATCTGGCCACCACGACGTGGTAAAGGCACCACGCCGTGGTCCTCGTGTTTATCCCGTATTTTCCAAGCTAGCGTCAAAAATCGCGAAGATTCCATTCACCACGTCGTTGTGGTTGGATATCCGACTTTTCTCAAAACATGAAAGTCGTCCGAAATTGTGTCTAGTTTTCATATCATTTTGAATCACCTTAATCGGAGTTACGAGTCATGAGATATGGTCAAAATACTGACGAGGGTTCAAGCTGTCCAGCAACATCTTTCTTGTGTTTTCTTCTTGCTTAAGCTCGCATTTTCCTGCTTCCAGCTGCCATGTTGCTTCCGAGCATGTCTTTTATGCTATATAACAGATATTAAGCATAATAAGTATCTTTTGTTCTATAATAAACATAAATATAGCATAAAATATTAAGATATGATGTAATATATATATATATATATATATATATATATATATATATATATATATATATATATATATATATATATATATATATATATGCACATATCAGATGCACAAAATGGAACTAATCATAAAATCTCGTCTGAGGCGTGGGGTGCCCCTTATAGGCATGACACGTCCCTGCGGATTGGGCTTAGGCCTTATGCCTCGATATATGGGCGTATTTAAGAGCATTAACCTCTAGGGTTTCGTCATTTTCAACATCCATCACCCTAACACGCCTCCAATGAAACCATAGCCTCTTTTGAAGTGCTTAGAGCTCATCCTCTCTCATAAACTCAGTTTGGTGCTCTTATGGTGATCATGAGTAATGGGAGAATGCAAGCTTGGGCAAGGAAGCATTGATCTTGAAGAAGTCAACCTTCTCTACACCTATGGACCTTATTAAGCTCTAAATATTCAAGTTTTATTATGTTTCCTCCATAGATCTGAGTTTTGGTTCCTTTGAGGTTTGTTTATTGGAGTTTGAGGAACTCCATAGATTTTCAATGATATATAGGATCAAATTTGGTCGTTTGATGGAGTCAAAAGTGAATGCAAGAGCTCTCTTTGCTCCATGCATAAGATAAGTACATTTTAGTCACTTTTGTGAATTAGGGTTTTAGATCTTGTTTATTTGGCCTATCCGAATGGATAAAGTTGGAAACTTTATCCATTAATACATAAAGGAGTTTCAGATTTGAAAATTATGGCTTCTGACTTAATGGATTAAGTTGTTTAATAAGTCGTTTTGGGCTCGTACGCAAGGCTCCTCTGAGTTTTTCTTGATTTCGTGACTAAATTGTCTTGTAGTAAGCGATGAGCGCCTAGGAGGGGGCGCAGAGTTCCCTTGACCATTTCCTTTGACTTTTTGACTTTTTTTATTAAGTTTGACTTTGAGGATTTTGGGTTTTAAACTTAGGTTTGACCATTGTTTGGTGTTTAGATGGTTCTTGAGTCTGTTCTATGCAAGTATTTGTATATGCATCAGTGATTCTTCAGTTCCTGTTTAGGTGAGTCTTTTCACTATATTACTTAGGTCATGATTGGATCCTATTTGTGTTGGATGTATGTGTAATACTATGACATGATTGTTTGCTTAACTATACTAGTATGGTTTGTTTGTTTGCTTGCATGTTTATATGCTTTGTTGGGCTGATGACAAGACTGAAATAGGCCGTGAGTCAAACAGGCCTGGTTGAGATGATGACAAAACCAGAACAAGTCGTGAGTCAAACAGACCCGATTGTGATGATAGCAAGACTGGAACATGCCACGATCTAAACATGCCCAATATTGTTATGTATGGTATATTAAATGTTTTTTAGGTTGTTTGTGGGAAGGGCGCGACATCACTGTACATTCACATTGAAGATATATTGTTATTCGATTTTCGTTGGTTTTTGTAATTTAACTCTGGTTAACCCTTACATTTTGAAATAAATGAATGATGTGGTATGTTTTCAAAAAGGGATTTAGATTATTTATTCTGATTTAAAATGAAAATTTTGATTTGAAATTTGGGATGTTACACATAGGCCCAAAGTCAATCAACGTCAATGATTGAATGTCTTTTAAAGGACAAGGGCTTTCCATAACTCATGAACAATCTCAAGTTAAGAGTTGAAACATATTGTTAACATCAAGTTTTAAGGTGTTCAACTAGTTATGAATTAGTTTACGAGTTCTGTAACTATCACAAAGTTTGAACTTTTAGGATTAATTACAAAAAATAACAACATACATGATCAAAATTCTTGATTATATCAACGTATTTTAAAATGTTACTGATATTAGGAACTTCATGTCAATTCATTCACGATTATAGCAATGTAATTTGGATCTTACTTCTAATAAAACAAATTTTTTTTACTAAATTTTCAATTTATAATAACAATTCAAAGTTTTTTCTAAAACTAGAGGTTAAATTGAAAAAGGAATAAGACTAGCAAGAAACTAGCACAACATTTCAAGTCATTAGTAGTTATAACTTATAATGATAAAAAAAAATTAAAAGGAAGTTGATATAGTACATAAAAAGTATTACTACATGAATTCTTATTTAATGCATCTTAAATGAAAAGTTTTTTTTATAATTTATTAATATTATTGAATGAGATAGGTTTTTTTTTCTTTTTTTTAAAATTTTCATTTTGGCCATTTAATATATATTAAATAATCAATATATTTTCATAACTTATACCTGTAATCTTTCTATTTTAACCATATTTTATTTTATTCATTTAATTATAATTTAGTTTCAAATATTTTTAATTCATTACTAATTAATTATTTCTGTTAAATATTTAATGAAATTTCATTTATAAAATACAAATTTTATAACGACAATATAATATTTTCAATATTTTTATTTTATTTTTGTAACTATAACATAATAATTTATTTTCCATATTTTACGTATATAAATAATGAAGTGATATAGTTGTATTTATATATTCATATTAAAATATTATTTGTGTTTAAAAATAGACTAGTTAAATAAAAAGGTTTTATAAAATATTATAGATAGATGGGGGTGCATATAAATAATAAAATTTATAAAAACAAACTATTTAAATAAGCTTAATCATTAAAATGGATTTTTATTTAAAGTTCAAAATTAATAAAATAACAATATAACATTTATTTTGAATTATAAGATAGTTTAATTATCTAAAATTAGAGCCGGTAAAAATCGATCCAACCTGTTAACACAACCTAAAATTAGCAGGTTTGGCTGAAATTTTCAACTCATTTAAGTTAAACGGGTCAACCCGCTTAACTCATCTAATTAAATAGGTTGGGTTAGGTAAAAATTATCAACTCGTTTTCAACCCGTCAGTTCATTTAACTTTAATATATATTTAATTTAATATTTATTTGAATATTATCGTGTATAAATCAAAGTATTAATTTAAAATTTATAATGTTGTACTGTTATTTATGTTTAAAAAATTGAAATCTTAATTCTCATCAATTTTCTTAGCACCAACAATATTAGTCACTCTCCAAAATCATTTCGAAATTAAACATTTTTAATGCTATTTGAAGAGTTTATATGTATTTGTGAATTAGGATTGTACATTTGTCATACTTTGAAACTTTATATATGTTCGAAACTAATTTAAGTGGTATGATATTTAATTATATATATTTTTTAATTTTAAATGAGTTAACCCAAATTCAACCAATTTATGTAATAGGTTGGGTCGGATACTACATAAACAAGTCAACCCGATAACAACCCATTTATATAAAAGGTTGGGTTGGATTGAAAATATCAACCTATTCAAATAAACTGACTGTGTTGGATTGAAAACTTCAACCTAATTAATAAATAGGTTGAACCCGAATCCAACTCACCTCGACCCATTATGAGCTCTATAAAAAATGCTTAAGAAAAAGAAAAGGTTTATTCAGTCTTATATGAAAAAAAAAAATTTATATAGTTTATCGGTGCAATAAAGTCATAAAGTCTTCGGCTACAAGAAGAAAAAAAATAAAAAAGCGATCGTGGTCATATGTAAGAAACAGCTCAACCGAAGAAACGTCTGTCTACCACATCTCTAATCTCCGTCACCGGCGTCGCCAATGGCTACTCAATCTGCTTCTTCCTCTTCCAACATTCAGCCGCCGCCACCACCACCACCACCCAAGGAGTCGCTCGGCCGCCGTTACAAGTTCATCTGGCCTCTTCTTCTCGCTGTCAATTTTTCCATCGGAGGTACACTTCATAAATACCTTTATATTCCTTTACACTCATATGTATAATAATCTCAGGTTTAATTGTTCTTCCTCCTATTTTATCTTCTTTAAATGAACAGAAAACATATTTAGGTTTTTCTATTCGTGATGCTAAATCTGAGTATTTGCGTATGTTTTCGATTATCGATTACAGATTAGATTTGTCAGTACCTATTGGCTTTTGGTATGCGTTCGACTTGGTGTTTGAAATTAGCATCGATGATATCTTTCAATTTAGGATTCAAAATGAAAATTAGGGTCTCTAGGCTCTTATTTTGTGTCTTCAACCAGAAGAATAAAAGGTTTGATCGACTCAAAATTTAGTCGATGTCATCCACAAAAGGCATCAACAATGGCGTCGATGACAAGTTAATTATTCTCGCCATATGATATTTATGCATTTTTATGGCAAAATCTGAGTAGACCTTTTATGAAGCTGAATGATTCCAACCCCTTAATAAAGTAAAAACTAGTTCATGTCATTTATTGTGTTTTATAGCTTACCTTTTCACAAGAACAACTAAAGAGGAGAAGACAGAGGGAGAGGTGCCTGCAACTGTGGTTACATCCACTGCAATATCAACCGCCTCCGTGTCTCCTCCTGCCGCCCCAAAGCCGGTGAAACCAATCCCCATTGATGAACAGATAGAGCTCTTCAAGTGGATATTGGAGGAGAAAAGAAAAGTGAAAACAAAAGATCCTCAAGAGAAAAAACGAATAGATGAAGAAAAAGCCATACTCAAACAATTCATCCGCTCAAAGTCCATCCCCACCTTGTAGATATAATACACTTGGAATTGTACATTTTGTAATGTTGTATTTTGGTTTATCCCTTACATTTGCTTGAATGTTGTATAAAGGTGTGAGAATCGGATTGGTGTTATTGTTGTTTTCTTCATCAAGTAGGTCATGATGGATTTATATATTGAATACAATGGAAAGAAGAATGATGGTGTGCTTTTCATATTAAAACAACAAACAAAACTTGAGTTCAATTTAGATACAATCACACAAACTCCATAAAAATGAGTATCAAAACTAACCAAAAAATGATAAAATTTTGTTGTCAATCATCTACTCCCGTGTTGAATATAAAACTTGGAAACCCTGTTGTCACATCCCTAACAAATGAAAAAAAAAAGTCAACATAAACCTTCATAGAAAAAACACCCCGAATACAAACTAATTACAGAAATACCCTCTCGACAATAAGTGACAATGGTACCTTAAAGATGGAAGAGTCATGTTCTTTAAGAGTTGGGGTCGTCGAATAACAAAGTTTCTCCACTCATCTTTGTTGATTCTTCCATCCATGTCAGCATCCGCATCAGCAAAAGTCTGAGAACAAAAGCACACAAGTCAAAATCAAAGAATGCAGATCTAATAACAAGAAGAAGAAGAAGAAATAGTAGTTGATTCTGATAAGTGAGCAGTCTTGCATTATCGATTATCTCTTCAAGAATTTCTTCTGAAAGAACCATTCCGGTTTCCTTTAAAGTGGCAACAATCATTTCTTTAACCTGATAAAACATAAGTTGTTAATGAGTATAGACTAGAAAAGAGTTTTCCAAATGAAAATGAGAATAATAACTTACTTCTTCTCTTTCTATGAACCCTGTTCGTCTTAAATCATATAATCTGAAGGCAACTGCAGAAAGGAAAACATGAGAAAAGGTAAAAAAAAAAAAAATGATCCACCTGGAAGTGGAAGTAGTTTGTCAAAACTTACAATCAATTTTTTGTTCCATTGGGGCATGAGGATGGAAGATGCTCAAGACATGAACAAACTCCTCAAATTCAATAACACCATTTTGCTTCTCATCAAATAGATCAAAAACCTGGATATAAGTAAGAACATGATATAAAGATTATTGAATCTTCAATCAAAAAATGTAATCCATTTTTGTGAAGTAAATTGTGAATTTAAGTAAGGATTTACCCTGTTCAAGAAAAGATTCTCTCCACCTGCTGAATTGAGTAAAGCTAATTGGAGCTCCTCCTTTATGTAAAGAAACAATAAAAACGTCAGGTGTTATTGCCAGTTGGAGCTTCTCCATAATCGTGCAATTTCTGTAGCTTTATGTAAACTCAATTACTACCTACAATTGAAAATACTTAGGTTTTGATGCTTTTGAGGAATGTTGCAATCAGGTGTTTAGACGAAGTAATTGAGAAGAAATTTGGTGAAATTAAGTGAGAAGAATGAAGAAATTTGAGGTAATTGAAGGAGATAGGAAATAGCAAATAGCAAATAGCAATTAGCATACCTTGTGTATGAGCCCATCGGTTATGATCGAATTGCTCAACCGATTGAACAATTCGAGCAATGCTTCCACTTCATTAACCGAAACTGTAACAATTTCCAGTATTAGAAAATCCGAAACTAACATTCAGAATTTAGTAAAAAAAATTAGGAAGGAAATGGAATACGAAAACGGACATGGAGAATTACGAGCGAGACGAGTGACGTCGTCAAAAGTGTGACCAGGCTTAACCGGAGAGCTTCGTCGATCATCGAAACAAGACGCAAAGCCGTAGATCAGAATCTCAAGTACCACCGCACACGGTATCAACGCCGCACATACTTTTTCCCCCACCGTCAGCGAGCTCGATCTCTATTTCTCCTAATCCAGATTCACATTTTCAATCTCATACATATACGATAATGAATAATCTCCTCCGTCACAAAATAAACAGATAGAAAGCAAGTGAGTTCGGATGGAAGGCCACGATGTATATATATGCTCTTAAGAGGAAGAAAAGTACCGAGGTTGACGAGCTCGCCGCCGTTCCCATGGTTGCCGGAGAGATCTCAAACTTCTCAGATTTGATGTTGTAACTTGTACGTACTACGTAACAATGATGAGATAAGGTTCGTAAGAATTTGCAAAATTCGAATCCAAATTCTATACTTCAATTTTCTTTTGGTAATCTCTAGTTCAAATGCATTCGTAATATCAAGATTTCGTACACGCATTCATCACAACACCTAACATAAAAAAAAGCCCTAGAAATTACTGAATCAGGATGACTGGACCGACCGCTGGGCCCGCACCAATGAAAATATAATTGATACATGTAAAACAAAAGAACTTTTAATTTTGTTTTACTTATTAATCATTTATTTTTAGTCTTTAATGAGAGTGCCACATCACTCCATATATTCATTTTTCATTTCATGTTATATATATATATATATATATATATATATATATATATATATATATATATATATATATATACACAAAAAAAAAAACCATGTTATCTTTTTCTTTTTCCAAAACCAAAAAATAGAAGAGAAAATAAGAGGTTGTGTTCTCAGGTATGTTGCATTTTTAGTCATTATGTGGGGCATACTCCATGAGTACGTTGAGCGTAACTCATTAAAGGGATGCGAGATTCTTTTAAGTACACTGGACGTACTCAGGTATTACGTAAGACATACTCACGCATGTCTCAAACCCTAATTTTTAGGGTTTGTTAAGACCCGTAAAGCCTCTTCATAACCAGCCTCCACTCTCCCTTTTCTATTCATTCGAAACCCTAGTCACATTGTGAGGTTCTTGAGCTCTTATAGTGATACTTTGTGTGTTTTGGTTCATATTAAAGAAGAATGAGTCCATTGGAGAGGTGTTGGGAAGCTTGGATCTAGTGGATCCAAACTTGGTTTTTCATCTAGCATCTTCTGGAGGTATAAAGCTCTAAACTTTATGGCTCCTTAGTTTAGATCTAGATTTGGGTTATGTTTTGGTCCCATGGCTTTGGATCTTGTGAGTATGAGCTACTCTAGAACCTTTGAACATGATTTCTAGCCATTTATGAGATTATTAAGTCATAAAAATCGAATCTTGAAGGTTATAGTCCAACCATTCATGAGTTATTGGTCCTTTATTGAAGTTATGAACACAAGGTTTGGTTTTGGGCCCTATTAGGACATGCAAAAGCTTAAAATTGCCAACTTTATCAGTTAAGACCTCCCCAAGAGTTAGATCTGTGAATTGGATGTTTGGTATTTAAGCATAAAGAGCTTAATGATGAGTTTTGGGCACATGGGAGTACACCAGGTGTACCCTCTTGGTACGCATGGCGTAACGGGTTCAGCCCGAGTTCTCCATCTGTTAAAGCCCAACACGCAGGGCATAGTATGGAGGTACGCATGGCCTACTCCCATAAATCCTTTTGGGCCTTGGTTCATATTGGGTTTTAGACAATGATTAGTTGGGTCAAGATTAGGAAGGGTATAATGGTCTTTTACCCTTAGTAAGATAGAATATGATTTGGACCATTGATTTTGTGTCATTACTCCGATTATTAATTAGGGTTGATTTTGGTTATGTACAGTGTGAGGAGCCATGGTGTCAGCAGCTCGAGTGTGTGATTTGTTTATCATCAGATTGAGGTGAGTCTCCTCATTGTACTTGTGGGCCGAAGACACCAATTTCGGCCCACTGAATTATGTTATAGGATAGTAGTTGTCTTCGTGACACTTACTGATATGCCTATATGTGCTTGCTGTTTTCGCGTCTCATGCTAGTATAACTGTATGTTTAGTTATAGGGCATGAAATTGACCCGTATCGGTTGAAAGACTCCGAAGGAGTCGGAAGGGACTCAGAGATTCGGAAAGGACTCATGGAGTCGGAAGGAACTCATGGGTGAAATATACCCATTACAGGTTTAGACTGATATGATATGTATGTGTGATGTGTATGTATGGTATGTGGTATTTCAGGGAACTCACTAAGCTCTATGCTTATGGTTTATGTTTAAATGTGTTTCAGGTACTTCCAGATCAAAAGGGAAGGGCCTGACATGATCGCATCGCATCCACCAGTGTTTAGTATTTATGATTTTGGGATTGTACTCTGATAACTATTTTTCCACGATGTTATACTTTTGATGGTTTTGGTTTACTTAAAATAAAAATATTTATCTACTATTTTTGGGATGTTACAAGTTGGTATAAGAGCATTGGTTTGAGGGACTCATGCACACTCTTGGGTGTGTCTGAACTCAAACTGAGGAATTAAGTGAAAAGAAAAAGATTTTTCTAAAAAGATTTTTATAAAATGGGGTGTGATGCGTGTAATCGCCCGAGCTCAAGTAAGTATTCCTAAAATACCCATACATGTTTATTTGATTTAGTATGTGAATACGTGAATAGCATGCTTGATTAGGGCTAATGATCTGCTCAGAATTGTATGTTAGAAGATATGCATTTGTATGCCTATCGTATGAGCATATAAAACTGCATACCAGTATGGATTACAAATGATATGATAGGATAGCCTGTTAGGCAGTGCACTAGTTAGAACTCGATGCTCGAATGGTGCTTGCTTTGTTCTTTTAGGAACCACTGTTAATACTAGTTAACTATTAAGCGAATATGATAGGTTACATGTTACAGAAATTAGATAATTTTAGAAGGTTAGGTTTAACTCTATTGCGCAACTCTTGTTTGAGTCTAACTGTTGTAGTGTGAGACCTTGCAGTCAAAGAATTATCTAGTGTCTGTTGCATGTAATTATATTCGTAAGGTAGTTAGCGAGTGTTAGTGGGAGTTTCTTCTACAGTTGATGGCGGAGAGTAGCGGGAAGGGAATCCTAGGAGAACCTAGGAAAAATGTTAGCATTAGAAGATGCGTTGTTTAGCGGGAATGTAGAATGTTAGGTATTAAAGGAGTTACTTAGGGGAGTCGAGACGACTCTTGAGGAAAGTACGGATATGTGTGAAAGGTAGTATTGGGCCCGTAGTACTGAAAGCATAGGATTCGTACTGGAGTTAATGGGAGTCATAA